CCTCCCTTCCTTCCCTTGGAAGTCGTTCTGCTGAAAAGCCCCTCCAGAGACGGGCGCGGTCGTTCCCCTTAGCGGTATTGCTGTCCCACTTAGAAATGGTGTTGAAGTAGTCCTGTGAGGGGGAAAAAAGGTGCCCGGATCAGAGCTGGCATTAGAAAGAAACCCTAGCTGGCTTCCTTGTCTTGGCAGGTGAGCCGCTGCCTCGCCTGCCTTCAGCAGAGCACGGAAAGCTTACACGGAGAGTGCAGCTGATTGATATATTAAGGGCTGGGGCGGGGGGGGAAAGAAAGCAAGTGCTGTGCCAGTCGTGTTTGTAGCTCATCTGGCTCCTTCAGTCGCGTTTCGAATTAGGTCCTCATGGACAAAGCCTGACTCGAGGGATGAGCTCCGCTTGTCACAGACATCTGAGCTCTTGAAAGGCAGCCTGAACTGGGAGGGAAAGCAGGCGGCGTTATGCCGTCTTGTCGTACGAAGCTCTTTTTTGCCTCCTTCTCGTGCCAGGGCCTGCTACCTCGCGGAGAGAGGCCAAACCCGCTGCGGCAGAAGAATGCCAAGGTGAATCATCTGCTAAAAGCCTCGCTCCCCAAACTGCCCAACGTCCAGCTTCTGGATGTGGACGTCGGCTTCGTGCACTCAGATGGCACCATCTCGTACCACGACATGTTTGATTTCCTGCACCTGACGGGAGGGGGCTACGCAAAGATCTGCAAACCCCTCCATGAACTGATCATGCAGCTGCTGGAGGAGACCCCCGAGGAGAAACGAGCTGCCCTGGCCTGAGTAGCTGATGTCAGCATTAACAGCATCACCCAGCCCATCAGATCAGTTCTGTCACTGGCACTACAGAATCCTTCTTTCTTAAAGCACTTTCCATTGTAGAATGTTACCGGATGTTCGTACCTAGTGTTTTGAGAGGGAAGGCTAATGTTTAACTGGTCTTGTACGTGTAAGGGCCAGCTTGGTTGGTTTTACTGCAGGAGGAAATTAGCTGAAGAAGAGTTTTACTTTTAAACCATTCCTCATTTAAACCGAGAACAGGGCTGTCACTCTGTGCCCCTCTCATGTCTTGTTGCTCTGTGGTTGTCCTAGAACCCCTGTAGCCTGTCTCCGACAGCCCGCGCACAGCTCCCGGCTCACCGCTCCTGGCTGTAGGGATTGTGCTCTGTGTATTAGCCTGTGAACAAGAATCACATTCCACTTGCATAACCCAGAACAGATGCATTTTTCCAAACTCGGTCCCACCCTTTAAAGGGGCTTTTTGGGGGGTTGGTCTTTTTTTTTTTTTTGTCTCCTGGGGGGGTTTTAAGTGACACGTGTTGCTTTCTCACTCCTCCTTCCTGTCCTGGCTGTAGGGATTGTGCTCTGTGTATTAGCCTGTGAACAAGAATCACATTCCACTTGCATAACCCAGAACAGATGCATTTTTCCAAACTCGGTCCCACCCTTTAAAGGGGCTTTTTGGGGGGTTGGTCTTTTTTTTTTTTTTGTCTCCTGGGGGGGTTTTAAGTGACACGTGTTGCTTTCTCACTCCTCCTTCCCAAAGCAGCACGAAACTGGAATTCAGAAATGTGAAGAAACAAACGGTTAACCAAACTCGTGTAACACTCCCAGGCGCTTCTTCCTGCGCTTATCTCACCAGGCCTGCTGGCCGGGGCACCCTTCCTCCCACCTGCCTCTCCCTCGCTGAGGTGCTGCTGCCTGCCCCACGCGCTGCTCCCGCCCGTGTGCGCTGTCGCTGGCTTTTAACAGTTGTGCAGTTTGGGATTTTAATTATCCGGTAAACACTGCACGAGGCAGTCGCTTCCTCCTTGCTCCACTAGGACTGTTATTTCATCCCTCCGAGATGCCTGGGCCACAGGGCTCTTTGCAGTGCCGATCCTTGTTTGTTTGGTTTTTTTAAGTATGACACTTCATCCTTTTTTTTTTTTTTTCTTTCCAAGGGAAACCCCTATGAATAGCCCCCTTCCGCAAGGCCTAAGGCAGTCTGAAGCTTTACAGATTCCAAGGTGTACATTTCTTTATCGCTTCTGTTTTACTTGTATAAACATTTTACTCGAGCAACTACAGCCTTTCGCAGTAAGAGGTGAGGTCGAGCCGCGCGTTTGGCTGCCCGGGGCCCTCCCCCCCCCCCCCAGCCAAGGGGGCCAGAGGGGCAGGTGCCCTCCTACAGGGGCTGCGGCGAGGCAGGATTTCGGTTTGGTTTTTTTGGTTAGGAGGGCTGCTCGTAGTCTACTAACGATGGTGTGCACGCTGCCCTTCAATTAAAAGTGAAAGGTTTGGACCCGAAAGGCAGAGCCCTAGATGAATAGCTAACGATACTTGCAAATAAAACCATTTTAAACAAAGTCTGTTCCTCCTTGGCTTACCTGCCGGAGTGGGAGCGTGGCGGTGCCGCGTGGACCTGGCCGCGGTTCGTGCTGCGGTAGCTGGCCCAGCGCAGCTCTGGGCGCTTCTTCCCGCCGGAGCGGGGCCTGGGGTCAGGCGCGCTCGCCTCGGCAGGTAAATCGCGGAGGAACGGAGAGCTTTTAGGCGGGCGCTTCGTGCCGCGTTCCGAGTGAGGGGTGTGTAGGTGTCTGGGTTGCTTGCTGTGCCCTGCTGCGATGAAGTACATAGGTACTGTATATAGTCTGTCTGCCCTTTTTTGTAATAAAGGGTGCTGGTGGTTAATGCAGTCTGTACCCTAGCATTAAGGAATACTTTAACGTGCCCGCTACGTTCCCCCCCCCTTCCCCTAGCTTTGATCAGAGCAGGATTTCTGCCTGGATTGCATGCGTAGTGTGTGTTCTGTTTCCGGTATAGGTGATCTACGCACAGATGAAGGAAAGGTGAAGCGTTGCACTTGCCAGGGTCAGAAGTAGGAAGGTTCGGAGTGTGGCGGTAGAGGAGGGGTGGCAGTCCTACCCCCAGGACCCAGACTAGGGACGCGCTGCTCCCCGAGGCTCGCCCGGCCTCTGCGCTCCGGAGCTCCGCTGCCTCGCAGGACGGGCTGTAAGGGAACACTCACTGCTCACGCTTCTGATGATAAGATGCTCGCTGGAGAAGCTGGGGCAAGGGAGAGCGGAAAATCAAATGTTAAGAATACGCCACAGCGGAGGATTCCTGGGGAAGGGACTTACCGCACCCCTCTGGGAGTCGGGGTAGAACACGTTCCGCTCCCTGGGAGCTTTTCAGGTTTCCAGGCTTGCATGAAAAGGCAGCATGCTAGCGAAACCAGCCTTCCGAGGCTGGGGACGCTCTGCTGGCTCCGCTTAGGCTTGGCTTGCTAAGGTGCCCACTCTGCGCTTGGGTCTGTGCTCGCGGCCCTCCTTCTCCGCTCCCGTAACCGTCTCCGATACTGCTGGCGCTGCGTAAGGAAAGCCAGGACGGCTTCCTCTCCGCTCAGGCTGTAGCTCTGCTTCCCACTGCCTAGCAAGAAACTGTCCCGCTCCAACTGCAAGGTGTGCGGGAGGGCGAGGAGGGGTTCTCCCTTCTCACCAACCTGGTACTAAAAACCGGGCGCCTCGCCGCAAGGCAGACAGAAACGCTTCGGTTCCTGCTCTGGGCGACCGCTGTCCCTGGGGATCGGGGCTGGGCTCCCCCTGCCCGTCGTTGTTAAGGGGTGCCTGGGAAGGAGCCGGCTCTGGGGGGCTTCTCCCCTCCATGAGCACCCCAGTTGCATTTGACAGCTCTGCACCGGAGCCTGCCATCGCCTCTGCGTGAGCGCTGCCAGCTTCGTATTTATTGCAGCAGGGAGGAAAAACAGAAGATGTGAAAGGACAGGAAAAGTCTCTCTTGTAACTTGCCGGGGGGCGGGAGGATGGCCACGGGAGGATGACCACAGGGTGGGACTGTGAGGAGGAAAGCCCGTACCTACCCCCTGCCTGCAGGCCCTGCCCTCTCGCCGCCCTGCGCCTTCCCTGGGACAAACAAAAAAATTGTCATCCTGCTTTGGCAAAAATGCATCGGCTGGTAGAACTCACTCTGTTAGCGCCTATTTCGATATAAATGTCGGTGTTTCCCCCTCCCTGTTGCAGCGTGTCTGTGTGTGCGCCTAGGCGCCCGCGTCTCGCCTTCCCTCTCTCTGCTGCTGACCGGTTGCCTTTCGTTTGCGCGGGGGCCGGGAGGTGCCGCCCCGCACAGAGCTGCCGGACAAACCGCCCGCCCGCGGCACTCGCAGCCTCCCCGGG